AATGACGTTAATCGTAGACTCTCTAGAAATATTGAAAATCAGAAAAACTAGAATTTATATTATGCTACTAATAGGTTTACCTTATGTCCGGATGCAAGTGGTAACGTTGTTCATCCTATGTATTTAGCTTTATTAGATGACATAGATAAAATAAAAACATATAGTTGGGGTCCGACACACTATCACACCTATATCGGTCTTTGTGTAACAATGCAACAGCAAATTTGGGAAATTTTAGCGGATGTGATGTTCTTCTTGAAGCTTGGGGTTGGTCAAGAATGACCAATCTAGCACCTATCCAACATAATAATTTCGGATTTACATACGCTACAAGATAATTTAATAGAACAATTCTTTTAAAATTTCATATTCTCTTATTTTATTTATCCTATTATTAACCAAGGAAACCAATCTTTCCTTTTTGATTTGTAGGTGTTCTTCACTTGGGATGAATTATGACAACTGTCCTCATTACAGTACTACCCATTACCGGAATCTTCTGAATCATTTGGGTCAAGATGATGTACCGTCACTGACCTGCCTATTTGGAATAGAGTCATATTAAATATTATTTCAAAATACTAAATATTTTTTTTTCTCCTACAGTTTATTTGGCGGACATATCTTGGTCTAGAAGTCATTCATGAAGTTAACGAACACGACTCTGCAGTGTGGAGTGCAAAGGTGCCGATTATCAACTTCACCACAGTGGAAATGCACAACAGTGATCGTGTCAAGCTTCAGTTTGGAATGCTACAAGATATTCCATGTCCACCAAAATGCATCCCCGAGAAGTATCACACAAGTAAAGTCTCCGACCAATGAGACTATTCTCCATGGACCAACTTTGCAAAACATGAGTGTCGTGAATGGAAGCATCGCCGCCATTTTATTTTGTTCGACACTGTGTTGCCATAGTAGAGAAAATCGTCTATCCAATATATGAATTGGTATAGGTCGGTTACCATTGATTTCATTTCTCATCCTAGATATCTTGTTGACCCACGCCAACAAGCCTCATCATCAAGAACCCAACAGCCGACCCAACCCTATTTCCAACAGCCAACCTAACCCCCACTCGCACAACAACAACTCCATGAACATACCCCTTACCAATCCACCTCATTCACACAAAGTTATTCTGTCTCAATACCAACAATATCCACATCATACCAAACATACTCCTATGATATTATAAACTAATTTAACACGGAGCATCAAACACCCAATCAACCCTTGCTCACCCAATCATTTACGCTGATGTCACCTTACGATCAGGCAGGCTATCGTTCTGACATTGCCTCATCAAGCCAACCATCCCACGTACTAGAGGATGCGGTACAGGCGGATATTTACCTCGACCTAGTCGTAGAAATTAATGTACCATATTTCACATATGTACTCATTTGTTATTAAATGAAATTGTTAATTATTATTTAATATATTATTTATTAAATATTATGTAATTGTTAATTATTATTTTTTAATATATTATTTATTAAATATTATTTAAAATTAATCATTTAAGGGTAACTCCAAATTAAATGACACCTCCCCCTATTTTATAAGGGTGACTCCAAATGAGATAGCGCTCCCTCTTTATTTATAAGGGTGACTCCAATTCCAACTACGCCTCCCTTATACGATTCTTTTTTTTTTTTTGAAACATAGGTAGTTTGGAAAATAGGTTGGAAAAATGGATAATTTAAAAAATAATGTAAGAAAAATTGGTTATGTGGGTAAAAAATTCATGGAAGGTTTATGTTTATTTTGAGAAGAAAAAAAACATTGTGTGATGTTTAACAAACTCGTAAACCTGAATTTTTTTTAAAGTAACAATATTATATAATTTAATTACCAAATAAAATAAGCTTTCAAAAAAATTATTAAAATGACAAACTTTCAAACTCATTCAGCAAGCATTCGCCAAATGGTTTGGCGAATTAGTTAAAATGTTGTTTCAAGGCATTCGCCAAATGGAATGATGAATTAGGCCATTTGGGAATTGGTCAATGTGTTGTCGCCACATGAATTGGTCGAATGTGACTGATTTTTAGGGTTTCCAATTTTTTTTGTTTTTCTTGATTTTTTTATCATATATTTAAAGTTTTAAAAATTTATTTGTTTTTTGATTTTAATATCATTATTATTAGTAACTATAAAATATATTAATTTATAATATAAATAATATTAATATAATTAAAATATTATTATTAGTAACTATAAAATATATTAATTTATAATATAAATAATGATTGAATTGAAGGATACATTTTTTTTTAATAATTAATTTAAGATTTATTGAGTCTTTAAGATTTATTGAGTCTTTTTCTCATTCACCACAACTTACTAATGAAACTGATCACACAATGTAATCGATGAATCATACGAAGATCGAAATTTAATTTGTATTTTTTTTCTTGTTGACTTGGTTGTAAGTTAGATTGTTTATTTTTTTTTAATTTAGTTGGACAAATAATTATTATTAACTTGGTCGTGAGAGTTATTTTTAATAACGTGACTCTATCCATACTTGTTACTAACTTTATAACCGTTTTTAGTAATTAGTTGTTTTATGTAATTGAATTTATCTTATTTAAATTTAAAACATTTTAAATTAAATTTTAATTTTTAAATTTTGGTTATTTTAATATTTAAAATTTATAATGTTTTAAAATTTTATTTAAACTATAAAATTATTGATTATGTACTTGAAAAACATTATAAGTTTTCATTTTTGTTTTATTTTAAATTTATTATTAAAATAACTATAACATAAATTTAATATTTTTATATTTAAAAATTTATTAAAACTAAAATTTGTGATTTATCTGTGGTTATTTTATGCGGATTTATTTGAGGATCTTTTTGCCAAATATATTACTCATAATGGTTTTAGTTGGTAATCAAAAAGTCAGAAAAAATCATTTTATGCAAAGATTTAGTTAAAATATAGAAAAGGTTGTCCTAATGATTTTGACTATCTATTTTGATTGTATTCTTAAATTATTTTAATAGACTTCAGTTTCTAGTTTTTGTTAAAATATTGTACTTTTAAAGTAAGGGATGTGTTTCATAAAAAAAAAGAAAAAGATGTTACTTATTATTTTCTATGTATTAGACTTATTAATATAATGTAAATAATATGCTAAAGTTAATATTTTTAGTATTTTCTAAACAAATTATCAAGTGTGTTACAATGACATTAAAACATTTAAAATTTAAATAATCGTGAAATTCACATCATACTATTAACAATTTAAAAATTGAGCATTTATAAATTTCAATCCACAAAAATGATAGAGTTATTTAGAGAATCAAAAGTATATCTAATTGAATTAATAAGTCCGGTGTTAAATTGCTCTCTAATAGTACTAAAAAAAAAATTCAACAACTTCACCCATGATCTTTTCATGTCAAACTGTTGAACATAAGATTTACCTTTCAACCATGAGTTCGAATGTTGAACATGTTATTCACCTTTCAACGGTGAATTAGAATGTTGAACATGAGATTCACCTTTCAACATTTATGAACTATCATGTTGAACATAAATATAACCTTTCAATAATTATTATAAACTTTGGAACGATGTCAAATTTTAATTTTTTATTAAAAGTTTTTCGTAAGTTACAATATGGATATTTGGGTCTTAAATTTTTTTGATGCTTAAGATAAACAATATTTCTTTCAATTTGTAATTGATGGAATCATGTATCATCTTTACCTATAAGACACACTTTATCTATCATTTTTGTGGATTGAAATTTTTAAATGCTCAGTTTTTAAATTGTTAATAGTATGATGTGAATTTCACGATTATTTAAATTTTAAATGTTATAGTGTCATTGTAACACACTAAATAATTTGTTTAGAAAATACTAAAAATATTAACTTTATCATATTATTTACATTATATTAATAAGTCTAATACATAGAAAATAATAAGTAACAAATAAATTAATATATTTTATAGTTACTAATAATAATTATATTTACATTATAAATTAATATATTTTATAGTTACTAATAATAATATTTTAATTATATTAATATTATTTATATTATAAATTAATATATTTTATAGTTACTAATAATAATGATATTAAAATCAAAAAACAAATAAATTTTTAAAACTTTAAATATATGATAAAAAAAACAAGAAAAAGGAAAAAAAAAATTGGAAACCCTAAAAATTAGCCACATTCGACAATTCATGTGGCGATAACACATTGACCGATTTCCAAATGGCCTAATTCGCCATTCCATTTGGCGAATGCCTTAAATCAACATTTTAACTAATTCGCCAAACCATTTGACGAATGATTGCTGGATGAGTTTCAAAGTTTGTCATTTTGGTAATTTTTTTGAAAGCTTGTTTTATTTGATAATTAAATTATATAACATTGCTACTTTAAAAAAAAATTCCGTAAACCTCACATTGGCATGTTCAAATATATACCTTGTTTAACAAAAAGTTTAGGAAAAAGAAACTTTAAATATTTAAAACTAACATGGCCTAATCTCAAATGCCACAACATAATTCCATCCTTAAATATGCTAGTCTTCACAATTGAGGACAAGTCGCTGCTGTTCTTCTCCAAACCAAAAGACCACCATCCTCGTTCCGACTATCTTATGTTGACTCTGACCACCACAAGCAATATGAAGGAGGCAATAGTTCTCACCTTTTATCCCCATGACTATGGCCATCATTCAAGGTCACAGTGAGTTTAGTGAATATAGAAAATAAATCTAACATTTGAAATAAATATCTGTAAATATAGAAGAACTAAAAGCATTAAAAAAATGGAGAAAAAGAATCAGTAGTTGCACACTAAAACAACAATTTACTTGTTTATTCTGTATTTAAATGTCAGCCTCTCATACACATTATAATACATTCCCCAAAAAACTTGTGCTAACTTTTCATGCAAGTAATGTAATGATGCAAGTATACCATACAATAGCATTTGTCAGTAACAAAATTTTGTTCTACATCATTCTATATCAACTTGTTCTTTCTCATTTTCATCACCACCATTGATGCCCGGAACTAGTTCAGTTTCAAACGACTTAGAATCCAACCTTTCATATCTGAAACTTGGAAGAAACTTATATTGTCCAAATGTCAGAATCTGACTCAACTTGTCATAGCCCAATCTTTGTTGAATATAGACCAAAATTGCAAGAATAATTGCAGTCACAGGGATAGCAATGTCACCAAATTTTGAGTAAAAATCCAAACTTGGATTGATAAATTCTGAGTCCTCGGTAAAGTAAGGATTCGGAACCGGAGCTCGAACGTAGTCATATACATGAGGAAGAAGTCTTACTAGAGTGATTCCGATAAAATATAGTTTCCTGAGTGGTTTACAACGGATTTGCCAGATTAAGTTCCCAATGATTTGTGGAAACAAGAAAAAGTCTTGCACAAGACCTGCATATTCTTCCAATTCCGCGGCCCAATCTGGCAACGAATGAGAATTTTCTTTTTCAACCATATATGCCTTTTCTCTAAGATGTTTCTGACTGGTTTTCGTGCTGTGAATTATCATAACAATTATGTAACCAATAAGATGTAAAATGAAGGTACAGAGAAGTACTCTTTTATCACTTGGGACAGAAAAGGGCTCAGAAGAGGTTCGCTTTTGCAATCTGATTCGAGACTTCCACACTTTCTGAAAAAGCCGTAGGGTTAGTAGCAATGATACAATCAACAAAAGTTTCACAGTGTAATCGATGATATGGAGCCACTCACTGTTCTCCAAAGTACCAGATGACGACACATCATAAGACTCCGAAACCATTCTCTTAAAAAGAGCTTCTGCACCTGTGATTAGAGGAATGCTATAACCAAGAGATTGAACACCGAGCACAACAAGAGATGTATATGGAAGAGAATCCATATTGTGCTTTATGTAAAACAGTTGGCTGAAAATGCAACCAACTGCAAATGTAAGTGTCAAGATTCGGAGAATCCCTTCAACACCCCGGTGTGAGAGTACATCCTCACGTTGCTTTCTGTATATGATTGGAAGAGTTTGGAGCTTTATTGTGTTGAACCGAAGGCCATCATCGTCTGTCCTTTGACTTTCTATAGAAATTGTGGCAGTGGGATTGACTAGCCACCGAGTTGTTGTCGGAGGATAAGAAACAACCACCTCAATTAAACAGTCCATTCCAGCTTCTAGATCATAGCTCTGATATAAGACGCTCCATGATGCTCGCACGTCTCTGCAACCAATAAGATACATCTTTCCAACATGTGGATCATAAAGACCTTCCAGAAAAAGCATGGAAAAATTACTATAACCTTTTCCACTAAGACTCAGTTGTGCAGATACATTTAAAAGAAGCTGTTTTTCGGTATATTCAGCGGCATTTGCTTGATTTGGTGTATCTAGTTGTTCCACTGTTGAACCATTTTGAGCGTCAAAATAACGCCCAAACATGGGACCAACTGAGAGAATCTCCATCTGAATATCAACTCTTGGGGCCTGCACACGAGGCATAGGATCAGGAAAACCTGGGATATGAAAAGTGAGATCTTCCGAAAGAAGGGACAGACTATCTTGGAATGTCTCGTCTTCAAGTTTAGGGAAAGTTAGCAATGATTTCTTAATGACGGTTGAAAAACTGAAGGGCTCATTTTTTTCTAGGATCGTGCCGGCAAGATTAATTTTGGAGTAACTGTAATTTGGATGAGTGAACATGAAATAATTCCATAGTTCTGTAGGTTGCACAAGCTGTTCAAATGATAGAGGGAAAAAGTCACCATTGTTATTAATAGGAGACAAAGTTCCCGAAATAATACTATGTTGCTTTATGGAGAAAGTGGTAGGTATATACAAACAAATCCGAGTATTACAGTTACCCCCTTTGGCATCGACAAGTCCAAGGCAGCCAACCATACAAAGCTGTCCACTAGAAGATTTCCAGATTCCTTCGGTGGCAAGCGACATGTTGTTAACACCGGATCTCTTTGCTGCATTATATCGATTCTCGGATGGAGAAACTGCTCTAAAAACTGCAGATACCGTAGTGAAGCCAGAATTATGTTTACCAGCTGCTTGCTCACAGATAACATCCTGCATGTAAAGTTTAACATCTTGAAAGCTTCCATGTGTTGATTTGATTCTCTCATCCGACAAAAAAGGACCTAATCGACTGCAGAAATCGTCGGTGCCGTTACAGCTCCAGTTTGGTACAATAGATAAAGGTTTATCCCTAGTAACTTCTTCGAGGATTTCGCAGAACCTTGTCCCTTTGTATACAGTAATGACATTATTTGTCAAATTATCTTTATACGGGTATGGATCGCATGCTTTGGATACAATATGTTGTGAGCCAAATGTGTACTTAGCTGAGCTACCCAACTGTGACGATATGTGAACCACATCAAAGTACTTAGGATTTGAATCACGGTTCAAACTTCTTAACTCTCCGGTGATCATCCTATTCGTTAAAGTGAATGTCAATGGATAGCGAAGAATCAGCAGAATTTGATCATCTTCCGACATAGGTACATCACTAGGATTCTTCATCCACCCCCATGGATTAGCAGGAACGGTTTCACGAGTCGGAAGCATAGTGTTCCCTAACAAACACAACACCCTCTCCCCACCGTTTCTCTTCGATTCTGTGTAAACCCCTTGAAAAGGAATCGAAATCTGAGAATGTCCAGGCCATAACCGAAAATCAAGATTCCCATCACCATACACATTCTCCATAAAACTGCCATCTCTAGTAATCCCCATCACCATGAAACCATTGATAGGGATCGACTTCTTCAATCGATGAGCATGATCAACATCCGTTACTCGAAAAGATACCAATTTCATCGGACTACTACGATCTCCCGCTATCATCCCCGGCGAATCCCGATCATCAAATGGCATAATTGGAAACTTACCATCCTCCTGAATCCAATCCCCATTAACAAAAGAAAACTCTCTTTTCATACCAACAACACCACTATATCCCAACCTCAATTCAGATGCAGCAGATAAAACAGACACACATTGTTTCTGAACTTCATCAATTCTATCATACTTATAGCTTACATGAGATCTCTTATCAAATCTATACATTTCCTCAGGAAGTTGTGAATTAGCAAGAACAATCACCAACAAAACACAAAGAAAACGCAAAGCAAATGCTGAAACTGAAAATGGTAATTTCATGATTCTAACCGACCAAAGAAAAAAGTCAAAAACTTTCCTTCAGGAATTGACTTAACTAAAAGACCCAATTGCTTATTTAGTCAAATTTCTTGATTTTCAGCTTCATTGCATGAAATCTAACCACAGATCATAGTTTGAAAGAAGATCTATAATGAAGAAATAAAAGCATAACAAACCTGAATTAGGCACGGATCAAAGTAGAATTTTTGGGAGAAAGTGATGATTGAAGATGTTGAAGAAATTTATGGGATTTGGAGTTAGAATTTGGGGGTTGATGATGGAATGAGAGAGAGTGAAGAAGAGTGAAGACTTGAAGTTTGAAGTTGAAGTAAAGTTTGCCTCTTTTGGCTGGTTGGTCTTCTAGATCCAGAATAATAAACTTCTATTATTTCATTAATTAAAATGTTCACTTAGTGAAAAATAGGGTGGTTTTTTTGTTTTAAATAATAAATTGAATATCTATACAAAACATTAGCGGAACATAATATAATATAATGGAATGGAATGGGGCGCGAGTAGAATAACATATAAATTTTAGAAAATTTTTATTTTATTGTATGGAGTGTAAAAATTCTTTAAAATATTTAAAATATTTTTTAAATTTTAAAAATGTATCTTCGAACGCATCTTTAAAACGTTAAATGAGTAGAAAATGTATTTTCGTAATATTTTAAAACATACATCACGCATCTCACTCAGAAGACATTCTACGTGTTTATTGTTCTGGAGATGCATATTCAATTATTACACAGAGATACATCTCTGGGACCTATCAGATCAGTGCATGTTTGTTTATGTTTATTCAAATGAAGATTTATAAATGTTATGTACCGTGTTATGTGACGAGATTTAAACCATACAATCGATATGCAAAAAAATGACGTATATAAATTTAGATGGTCCAAAAAAGACATATATAAATAAAGTCGAAATACACGATAAAGTAGCATGGAGTGAAAATAAAATACAATCCATAATGAATTCAAAATACATCTACTGTATACTATTGTGCTACTGTGTATGTCGAACTACATCTCCTTTGGCTCCTCGGGCTTCAATACCCCATATCCTTCAGCACTGTCTCTAGTACATCAATGTCTCACGTGCCTCTGTCATGATGGCATCTAGGACCTGCCTCACATCACACTCATCAGGGAAGATACCTCTATCAATGTCTGTCTGCGCAATATCCATTATGTGACGACATTTAGGCAAGACATCATCAGTATGATCAAACTATGTATGCTCCTCCTCTAATATCTCCTAATGAGTTGGCATCGGTGGATCTCCTGAAGCAGTCTGCACCATACATGGAAGTGACACTCTGAAAAACCACCTGATGTACTCGTCGACGTAGCTTCAGTCACTCTCAAATGGTACCAGATGACTCTTGTAATCATCAAACATGGCATCCATCTGCCTACGTGTCAAAGCAGAATGAGCAAAAACACCATGTTGTCTGGGAATGGTCTGAGTGTGTCGAACTGCCGCATCACGTATTCGGTGAAAATGAGGAGCGGTGAGACATGATCCGCAAGCCAACCATCATGAGTATAACATTATCTCGTCAAACGGTCACATCTCACAGCGATCTACATAGCTATTGAAGTGCGTGTCCTTGGCAACCAAGCAGTCAAGATACACTTTGAATGACTTTATCTCCTAGTTCCTTCTGAGCGGAGAAAATGCAGTAGCATGTGGATATCTTCAATGTAAGTCGGTACATCTGCCTAGTTGGAGATGTGCGGGAAGTGCTGGAGGATCCAATCCTGAAAAGTTTGGAACACTCAAATCATGGTTGTCAAACTCGCAGGTTGACTCGTAAACTCGTACGAGTTTACGAGTCTAGGAAGTGAAAACGAGTAGACTCACGCATATAATCATTTTTTGATAGACTCATGTAGACTCACATAAACTCGTATAGACTCGCGAGTCTATGTAAAGTTTACGAGTCTATTTTTTTTTTAAACCCAAAAAAGGTCCAAATTCACCCAAAGAATTATTTTATTAAAAAAAAACCCTTATTTTTTTGCTTGTGTGAGAATTAGATATCCTCTTTCCTAGTCTCTTGTTTTGGCAAAGTTTCTTCCTCCCTTCATCCCTTCAAAGACGACGTGTGTTTATTATGTCACTTGCTTTGTTCGTGTTTGTTTTCGTATTTCAATCATTTCTTGTGTAAGTATTTTATTATATGTTTCTCTTGTATATTCTCTTATGTAAAGATGATGAATGGATAACTGAAGATCCTAATAAGGAAAATGTGAAAACTAAAGTTAATTTTGAGTAAGATGATGTTATTGTTAACAATGTTGTGGAAGTTGATGTTGTTATTACTAATATTATGCAAAGTGGTGGTGGTGGAAATGTTGAATTAGATAGAAGTGGAACTTCAAGCAATCCAACTTTGGTTAATGATGAAAAAGATGTTTCATCCAGGGTATAATTTGATGATGATACTCAAGATATCAATGAAGATAATGGTGATGATATTATTGGTGATGATTTCACTGGAGTTTTGAATGTTTAAAGTCATTGGCATATCGGTTTTATGATTTTTTTTGTTTTATGTAGTAGTCAATTAAGAAGAAATTAGTACTTTAAGTCTTTAAATTCATACTTTGTTATTTTGTTTGTTTTATTATTGAGTTTTTTTGTTAAGAAATTTGTTATGGAGTATGATTTTTAAATTTTGATGTTAATTGATATTCTATTATATATATTTGTATCATATTTGAGGCATTTACAAGTTTAAAAATACATGTGTGTGTGTCATGTATGTTTCACATATAGGTTTGTGAAAAATCATTTTTAATTTTCCATAGACTCGTACGAGTTTGTGAGTTGAGTCTGCAAGTCGAATCTACAAAACCTTTACGAGTCTGAGTAGACTCACGAGTTTGACAACCTTGACTAATATCATCAATAAGGGCGTTACAAAGATGCAACAAAAATGACACAAAGATTAAAAGACCAATAAATATTACCGTCAGTAGTATGATGTTGCATGTGACTTGCTTCGTCTTCCACCTACAACCCTCTGATAACTTCGAGTACAAGTAGAACAAACAAGAGGCCCCCCAGTTGTACTCATGGATCCGCTCGAAGTCCTCAAAATACCGTAGGTAGACGACATCTATATAAGTGGCACTATTGTCCATAAAAACTGTAGTGTCAACCAAATATAGCAGGTATTCTCCCATATCATATGCTTTATGGAGTCCCACCTGCTCATCATCACCTCTAACGTCATATGCTCTAACGATCTCATTTATGTATTCCTTTTTCAAGAATTCAAACATAGCATGAGCCCCTCTGGTTCTCTCTATCTCCGTCATCGCAGCCTCTGGGTCAACTCTCAGATAGTCTACCATTAACTTAAGTGCCTCGTCTTTTTCTAATTCTCCCATGATCTAGAAGTTTCCCCCTGATTGGATGATTCAGTAAACATGACATATCATCGAGTGTGATAGACATCTCACTAAATGGGAGATGAAATGACGAGGTCTCGGTGTGCCATATCTCCACGAATGCATTAAGCATCTTGTGGTTGGCCATAATATAATTGGTCATGTATAAGTCCTTCATCCCATATAGAAACAAAGCTTCCTGAAACCACTCCTCATTCGGCTGAGGCAATCTAGTAATCTTTCGCCCGTGGTTAATAATCTTCAACGGATCACAGGCCTGCAGAAAAATAAATCAATGTCAGAAACTTGTAAAATATTAAATGTAAACTAAAAAGAATGAATCCAACTATTGTTACCTCTTTGTCCCATATATGTCTGGCAGTATGGTTTGGGTATATAGGCAGTAGTGACAACTCTACATGGCCTCCTCCAAATGCCTAAGGTGGCTTTGACTCATCATCCTCAATAGTCATAGGTGGCACTGGCTAAACAACATCAGCAGTCAAATGTGGCACTGGCTCAGAAGCATCATCTGTCACACGTGGCACTGGTGCCTCTGGTATCACTGATGACTCGGGTACCTTTAATGCTTGAATAGGCGAAACCTTGTGCCTGTAGGAGGATGCAGGGAATAATGCTTTGGTAGGTGGAATTCATCTCATACGGGTATAAGAAGATGGAGAAGCGTGAGGAGAAGCATGATCCCCATAAAAAATGTCTCTGCATGGCCAGAGTGAACAGGAGTTTTTGAAACCTAACTTTTATCCCGTCACACTAATGCATGTTGTTCAATCCTCTCGTGTCTTAGTCTATCATGTTTATCAGCCATAATGTCTGTAAGTAAAAGTAAACCAAACAATTAGTGCAAGCAAGCAATATTACAAGCAAGAAAAACAACAACAAAAAAACAGATTAAGAATTTTTAGAAATGCAACTCCGGTTATTGGGAAACTTAAACGTTGAAAAATTCTAGAGATGCACCTCCATAATTTTCTGCATCTCTTCAGGTCCATCAATGGCAGCAATGCAGACGCGCAAATCCCAAAAATAATGGTTTGATCATCATTTTTATCCAACAAACATGTTTTACAGTATGTCTAAACTATCACTCGTGTAATTTCTACTCATTTCTTACCTTAATCATCAACTTCTACTCATTTACACAAACTTAAAAACTATTCAAAATATTAAAAAAAAACTTACAAATTTAGAGTTTACTTCACACTTTGATGATGTCTCTGATGCACTTGATATTGATTGTAGAACCTCTGAGCATGGTTGTTTGATTTAAGAGTTGGTTGATGGAAAATACTTTAAGTAAACTTTGTGTTTTTTTAAAAATGAGAAAGGAAATGGGTTCTTGCGTGATTTAAGCTCCAATACCCTCCGGAGTTGCATCTCTGAAATAAGTTTGAAGATGCATTTCTATAATATTTTAACGTTAAGTCATAATTGGGTGCATCCAAAAATGCATATCTGAAATTGTATTTTCATGTGTCGTCTAAGTAATATATAGGGTGTATTGAAAAATTCTCTAAATTTTACTCTATAGTTTGATTATTTTATTTAAAAAGTCACATTCCATTGCATACA